TCATCACAGAGATACTCACTTCATGTAGTTCTACATCATGCCCTTCAATTTCTTCTAAAAGCTCACACAATCCGCTTTCACCGTAGTTCATAATTAAAACTAAGACACTTGGAGGGAGGGAGGGCTAGACAGTCTTTAGCACAGTTTGTTGCATACAGGTAAGAGGTCGTGTGGGTGAGACGTTGACATCAATCGTCCTAATCGCGGTGGAACAAAATACTCCAAACTCTTGGTACCAAGTGGGTCATCAATACTGATGTCAACATCATGAATAATTTTGTCTGAATCAAAGCCAGTCCAATCTACTAATTGATAACCGTATATCTCATAACCAAACCCAACGGATACCTATTGAATATAAATGTAATGTATTTAATTATTCATTATTTTTTTATTGCAGGGTACAATTATTTCATCTACTCCAGGAAGATAGACGACAATAAGAAAAATTATAAGTTAAAGATGATAAACCACTTTAATTTTGTGAGCAAAAAATATTAGCAAATTTCATGAGCCAGTGAAAATCACAAGACTGTCTACGAATGCCATAAAAAACTAAAATTCAGTAATTTCTAGCAGCAAACATTAAACAGCTGGAATTAATCAAAAGATTATTTGGGTGTTTTCTTTGAAATTTATTTTTACTGATTTTTGACAAGTTGATTGTAAAAATATGAAAAAAAAGGTATATTCACTGGAAATTATTTTCACTGAATCACCCCTTCAGCAAAAATAGCAAAAATAAAGTACATTTAGTGAAAATAAAATATTTTACAGTATACATGAAGTCTTACTTAATGGTAATGTTCAAAAAAAAATACAGGTTGGCAAACTGGCAAAAAATATCACACATATCAATAGATATATTACAATATTTAATCAATATAATGTAGACTTACCTGCTCCTCTACAATAACGGAATCATCCAATGCCACAGCTGACGCCCTCAAAATGTTTGGATGACTTGTTGACAGGAAATCGGGAACCACACGTCCACCAGGTAACGTTACATCATATGTTGGTAATTCACAGGTAATTTTGGTTACAGCACCAGCTGAATTCATTGCAGAGATTGTGAAATATAATGGTACACCACCTCTCAACACCTAAAAAGTGTAATAAGAACAGGAACATTTGCAGAGATTGTGAAATATAATGGTACACCACCTCTCAACACCTAAAAAGTGTAATAAGAACAGGAACATTTGCAGAGATTGTGAAATATAATGGTACACCACCTCTCAACACCTAAAAAGTGTAATAAGAACAGGAACATTTGCAGAGATTGTGAAATATAATGGTACACCACCTCTCAACACCTAAAAAGTGTAATAAGAACAGGAACATTTGCAGAGATTGTGAAATATAATGGTACACCACCTCTCAACACCTAAAAAGTGTAATAAGAACAGGAACATTTGCAGAGATTGTGAAATATAATGGTACACCACCTCTCAACACCTAAAAAGTGTAATAAGAACAGGAACATTTGCAGAGATTGTGAAATATAATGGTACACCACCTCTCAACACCTAAAAAGTGTAATAAGAACAGGCACGATTGCAGAGATTAATGTAACTGCTAAGTTATAGCCCTGTAGGCTATTATATCGCTATTTCAATTAAGTTTCCTTTTCAGTAGTATACATGTCATGTCAGTTTCCAACAAATTTGGGAAGACAGCCATCTAGATTTTGAAAAATACATTTCTTAGTTTCCAATACTTACCTTTGTGTTGACATATTAAACAAGTTCTACAGAACACATATCATCACAGATTCAACAGTTAATAATACATTACTCACTTTTATCGCTACTTATCCCTCTGCTTGTCCCTTAATTTTGGTCATGCAGTATTTTCGTCCAGAAAACAACCACATTTTTATCACTCACCCAAACACTGTATAGTGGCACACAATTGGTCGAAATGATGGTTTCAATGGTCAACTTTGAGAATACAACAAGTATTACCTAATGTCTAGTGTATTTCAAGAAAATTGGGTGAGGCTGATTATTAAATTCTGAACATCACTTCAAATGGTAAGACACTTTGTTATCATTTGCAATGCAACTTGAACTTGCAATATTAATAAATTGAAACGAAACCACACCCACTGAAGTTGTTGGAAAATTTGTGAAGTTAGTGATGGGTAATAATGGTTATTGGTGATCCGCTCCGCTAAGATTACACTAGCTTATAATCACTTTTGTATGTATGTATATGTGTGTGTTCTTCTATGATTTTTTTGGCTTGGACAATTTTGCTCAAACTTGGCAGATAAAGGTTACTTTAGTCAGGTGGTAAAAACAGCTGATTTTTGAATACCTTTATGATAAATGTATCTCCTCCTACAAATTTTGGAGTAAAAACCTCGGACATAGCTTATTCTACTCAGCTTGAGTCTGGGCCCAATATTACCGGTACTATTCGTTTTTTTAATAATGTTTTCATTGTCAAAATTTACTACTTTTTGAGTCTGTCCTACCATTATCATGGCAACACCTGAAAAAATGATTTTTATTAGGGAAGCGGATCAAAAACCAGTCTACCAGCTTGTTAATATATTCCCTTTTACTTTTGTTAAAATACATTTTTGTGGCAGTACGCCAAGTTAGAATACTGTTCAAAACAAATTAGTTCATCCCAGTCAAATCTAGGTCAAAGGGTCAGATTGTGTGTATATAATTATATGCTATTCAATGCCTCTGAAAACAAGAAAGACACAAATATACTTTTTCAGTGGTCTGGGCAGGAGATACAGGTTTGCATGGTCATATAAAGCATAAATTATATAGTTGCATTCAACAATAAGTCACAAAAGCAAATGGAAAGAAAGCAGAAGTACTGTATGTTGATAAATTAAAAATAACCATTTCAATTTCTTGGTACTGTGTTATATATTAGTTGATACCATTGACAGTAGCAACAAACATTTCATAGCCATAGCTGTCAAGAGCTACTGTAACTTTAAATTCTACCAATAAACAAGACTCAAAATAGTCTATTATCACCTGTTCAAAAACGGTAGAAAATCCTCCCATTGGTTCATTGTTGCGAATATCACATCCACCTTGATACGTCCCAATACAGAATGTCATATCAACTTCGCTTCTGTCATCCTCTACTGCAAGTCCAAGTTCAAATGCTGGGTCAGTGTAATCTCGACCTTCTACTTGACGTACAAAGCATCCCTGATTGTCTGAGACACCACGTTTTTTTCTCGCACCCCCGGCACCTCCACCAGCAAGTGCTTTCAAACCAGGAGTCTGTAGTAAAAGAATAAAAATAGACTTGGTTGGTCAATGACTATCATTTGTCACAAATTAACATTACTTTACACTGAGTGTGATTCGAGATGCAGTCTTACTGTTAGAATAGCTTTGAATACAGGAGGTGTGTTGTCTGGTTCTAAGTCGCCAACATCCAAGAGAGTGCCGGAAATCATTGGCGTAGTATATTTCCACCAAACTTGATTGTAAAGCACTTTACGGATGTGGATCTTTACAAATCCAATCTTGAATTTGATTTCAAAAATGAGAATAGCTCTTAGTTCAAGTCGTAATGGAACTAAGTTCATGTCCATGCGAGCCCTGTAAAAAAGCACTGCAGATGTTAACGAATATTGGAAAATCTTATAATAAGTTTAGTGATTTTTTAGAATGATTACTGGCGATCCACTCTGCTAGGATTACCCTTATACTCACTTTTGTACGTGTGTCAATGAAACTCTACTTCCAAATTTAAGAACTTACACCATGAGGACAATAGAGATGCTAATGTTGGCCAACATTCACTCTGCATGAATGCCAACTCTCACTGCATGAATGCTAACACTCACTGCATGAATGCCAACACTCACTGCATGAATGCCAACACTCACTGCATGAATGCCAACACTCACTGCATGAATGCCAACACTCACTGCATGAATGCCAACACTCACTGCATGAATGCCAACACTCACTGCATGAATGCCAACACTCACTGCATGAATGCTAACACTCACTACATGAATGCTAACACTCACTGCATGAATGCTAACACTCACTGCATGAATGCTAACACTCACTACATGAATGCCAACATTCACTGCATGAATGCCAACACTCACTGCATGAAAGCTAACATTCACTGCATGAAAGCTAACATTAACTGCATGAAAGCTAACATTCACTGCATGAATGCCAACACTCACTGCATGAATGCCAACACTCACTGCATGAATGCCAACACTCACTGCGTGAATGCCAACACTCACTGCGTGAATGCCAACACTCACTGCGTGAATGCCAACACTCACTGCGTGAATGCCAACACTCACTGCATGAATGCTAACACTCACTGCATGAATGCCAACACTCACTGCATGAATGCCAATACTCACTGCATGAATGCCAACACTCACTGCATGAATGCCAACACTCACTGCATGAATGCCAACACTCACTACATGAATGCTAAGACTCACTGCATGAATGCTAACACTCACTGCATGAATGCTAACACTCACTGCATGAATGCTAACACTCACTGCATGAATGCTATCACTCACTGCATGAATGCTAACATTCACTGCATGAATGCTAACATTCACTGCATGAATGCTAACACTCACTGCATGAATGCTGACACTCACTGCATGTATGTTAACACTCCCTGCATGAATGTTAACACTCACTGCATGAATGTTAACACTCACAGCATGGATGTTAACATTTACTGCATGAATGCTAACACTACATGAATGCTAACACTCACAGCATGGATGCTAACATTTACTGCATGAATGCTAACACTCCCTGCATGAATGTTAACACTCCCTGCATGAATGTTAACACTCCCTGCATGAATGCTAACACTCACAGCATGGATGCTAACATTTACTGCATGAATGCTAACACTCACAGCATGGATGTTAACATTCACTGCATGAATGCTAACACTCACTGTATGAATGCTAACATTCACTGCATGAATGCTAACACTCACTGCATGAATGCTAACACTCACAACATGGATGCTAACATTTACTGCATGAATGCTAACACTCACAGCATGGATGTTAACACTCACTGCATGAATGTTACTCATCAGCAGCAACTGTTAACCTGGCACAATCATGTACACACAATCCCATCATGATGGAACCAAACAAGCACAGTTGGTGGTTGAGAAAGTCTGGAAAAAGTTAAATTACTCACTTAACATCTAAGGGGAAGTGGTCATACTGTAATTGGGCCTTAGTAGGGAAGTTGACAGTCAGCAAGTAACCAGTCAGTCGGAGTTCACCAAACAATACAAACAGCCATATACCAAGATATCCATATACTTGTGCTCCAATCTGAGGTCTTACCATTAGCTACAATAACACAAAGAAACAATAGTTCACATCAATAAGTTACAGCATGACATAACTTTATTCTACCATATTAGAAAATAAAATTCTAAATAAGGAAAGATGAAGTCATATTTCTTGATATGTAACAGAATGATATGTATCAGGAAAGGTTTCAAGAATTCTCACTATCAAAATGGTCAAATCATGTCTCGTAAATGAAAATAATATCAATATGGCCACCAGGCAGCCATTTTGTGTGAAAAATACTGGCTAAAATTCAATGACAAAAAACAGACATTATATATGGCCTAGTAAATCAATTTTCACAAACTTAGAAACATAAAACATAAAGAAATGCATAGTGCAATTGAATGTAGGTCAAAAATTGAAAATATATAGTAAACCTAACACCTTAAAAAAAAATAGTGCAATTTCTATGCAAAGTACATAAACAGATATGTGCTTTCTGGTTTTCACAAGGTATGGTTTTTCTACGAAATTCATATTAAATAAATTAAGGTACATATTGACTAAATAACAATGTGAAAATAAAACTTACGTCAGCCTTCATTTGTAATAGGCTCACATCAGTAGCATAACTCATTCCATACGTACCACCAGCACCCATACCTTGATAGAAAGAATAGTGCAAACTAAGAAAATGTGTTTCTCAATCTTATTGAGGTAGCGAGACTATTATTTGTGTTGAAAATTACAATTTTCACATTTATTTATTAATTGATGAAATGCACTATAAACTTTCATATGATATAGTCAACATAATATAGAATGTCATGTAAGTTGGTTTTCTGAAGGGAAGCAAGGCAGCCTCAGTAGTGTTTTCCAAAATCAACAACACAGGTTTAATCTGTGTGCCTATGAGTTTCAAAGTTTCAAAGATAAACTCAAGACAAATGTTAGGATGTGTTATCAGTAGCTTTCTGACACACAATGAGTGTTTCCAAACACTTAAAGTGGTTTGTCTCTGCCCCTGTTTGTTTCACAGATTAGTCATTTGAATATGAATGTGTCAGACACAAGGTCACACAGCCACTGAAAAAATTCATTGATTTTGGTGTTCTCATCTGCCGATTTTATTAAATTATAGCTATCCCATTCCTTTATTTTTTGGTTTCCAATACCCTTACACATTTGGATGCCCCCTACACATGTTAAAACAGACCTTGAATGGAAAACAAATTGATTGTGTCGATAAACAAGCTTGAAAATCTTTGCTGTGACTTCATGGACGTTTTCTAGGACTTTATTTTTTTCAAAATACAAGATCTTTAACAAAAAATAACATATACTTATTGTCGTCGGATTAACACCAAATTTTCACAGCTTTAAAGGGGAACTAAATATAGCTAATTTGGTGTTATGTATATTGATTATAAATTTGAAAAAAAAAATAAAAAAAAATGATTATCTTCAGAGTTATGATGATTTAAATATGAGAAACCATAAACCTGCGAAGGACTTCCGTTTGTGCCATCTTGCCATAAAAGACGCCCTCGTGAGGTATAAACAGGAAAGGTAACAAAGCATGATGACGAAATAGTATCTGATTAAATATAAACAAGTTAGGGAGCCATAGTTGGCTGAACTGGTGAATTGACTTCTAGTCTAGGTTGTTTCGACTTTTACTTTAATGTTATTTACAAGCGTATCAACATACAAACATTATGGATGTGCGATTGATCGAGACAGGCATTTTGTTTTGTTTTTTGTCTAACTGTCTAATAAATGCTGTTTTACAGTACTGCACTGTGCGGCGTGCAAATTATTCAAAGTCTGGATGCTGGAGTATGCAATCTTGAGTTCGTAGGTGGTGGTGGAAACATTTTCGTCCATGTATTCACGGGGCTACACTGGCAAATCATGGGACAATTGTCACAGGAACACCAAGCAGATTGTTCACAGACTTCCGTGTAATTTGAAATAAAACTATCATCCGAACAAGGGGCATCGTCGACGATATACTCTCATCACTCACACTGGACCGTGACTGATCTGAATCTTCACAGTATACTGTACTTCCCTGATCATAAGCCCGGAGGCATGAACACGTAAGGGAAAAGTAAGGGATGAGCTTATACTCGAGGAACAACTCAGAAAAGATGATTTTGTTTTGGGGTTAAACACTGTAACCATCTTGCCAACAACGAAAAATTATCCAAAAAAATTATTCGTTCACCACGCCGGGCTCGGGAAAATAATACTTATTTTTGAAAAAAAAAATGCGTCATTGATTTCCACACTTACAATGAAGAAACAAACATGTTTTATTACAATACGATTTACATACCGTCTGAATTTACGGTGAAACAAGTCATTGTCAATGACACGTCCCCGTTCCATTCATATTTGAGTGACATATACATTCAAAGCAGATCATGACTGAAATGCACCTGCATATGTACAACACATTGTGCTAAATCTGAACAAAATCCATCCATGCATGACTGAGATCCGGTTCTGGAATTGTGAAAATACGTGATTTTGATGCATTTTCGGCCTTAAAATGGCCATCATTCCGCTATTGTTAAGCAGATCATGAAACAAATGCACATATCTATTTGTGACATGATGTACCATGTGTGTGTGAAGTTTGAACTTGATCAATCCAGACATGTCTTGGATACGGATCCAGAACTGAATTCTTTAACAAAATGGCCGCCAGTCGGCCATTTTGAACTTGATCCGAAAAAAAAAGACATGCATCAAGGTCCTATTATGTTTAATGTATGTACCAAATTTGAACAAAATCCATCCATGCATGACTGAGATCCGGTTCTGGAATTGTGAAAATACGTGATTTTGATGCATTTTCGGCCTTAAAATGGCCATCATTCCGCTATTGTTAAGCAGATCATGAAACAAATGCACATATCTATTTGTGACATGATGTACCATGTGTGTGTGAAGTTTGAACTTGATCAATCCAGACATGTCTTGGATACGGATCCAGAACTGAATTCTTTAACAAAATGGCCGCCAGTCGGCCATTTCGAACTTGATCCGAAAAAAAAAGA